GGGGGGGGGGGGGGGGGGATTTCACGTTCTTCCTTTGTATGTATCGAAGGTGAATCACAGTCAGACAACCAGCGGCGATTTCTTCTTTCTGTGTTGTACCTGTGTTAGTGCCAGTCAGTGAAAGTGTCAGTGTGCGCGTTTGTCGTAAAATTCTTCTTTCTGCCTGTGTCTGCTTCGGACAGCGCTGTGTGTGCTCCCCTGCGCACGCACGCGCGGCGCCGTACACCCACACACCGCAGTCTGCGTGCGCCGAGGGCACAAGGGCACATCCCGCCTCACGCGCGGGCCGCTCCCTTCGCAGGACCCTCCCGCATCGCTGCAAAATGCCCGGCACCATCGACGCGCTCTGCCCAGCGACCGCGCCCTTCTTTGGCTTCATGGGCGCCGCCGTGGCGCTCATCTTTGCGAGTGCGTCGCCTCCCACCCAGCCGGCCGCCCTCGCGCGTGCTCCCGCGTCGCACCAGCGCACGGGGGGGGGATGCTCCAGCGGCCTGTGGATTTTGCGCACCCGCGCTGGATTCTCAGCAAAGTTGTGCCCCGCGCGCGTGACCGATGCGCGAGCGTGGGCCTGGCCGCGCTGCGGCGCCGCTGCCCCTCGCCTCTTGCCGCACGACCGACCGAGCCTCCCGCCACACAAGCCGACGGTCCCCTCCCATGCGCGCCGCAGACCTGGGCGCCGCGTACGGCACTGCAAAGTCTGGCGTTGGGGTGTCGTCGATGGGCGTGATGAAGCCGGACCTGATCATGAAGTCCATCATCCCCGTGGTCATGGCGGGCGTGCTCGGCATCTACGGCCTCATCATCGCAGTCATCATTGCCAACGGAGGTGCACGCGCGGCCTCTCCCGCGCCTGCCGACTGCGCCGCCACAGCCGTTGGCCGCCCTCCCAACCCCCTCCTCCGACCGACCGCAGTCATGCCGCCGACGAGCGAGGGTACGACAAAGTACTCCTCCTTCACCGGCTTCGCGCACCTCGCGGCGGGCCTTGCGTGCGGGCTAAGGTGTGTGCCGCCCCAACCCCCTCCCTCCATCCCTCCTCTCCACCTCTCCGGATGGAAGCCTCCCCCCCCCCCCCCCTCCCCCCCCCCTCGCAGCGGCCTCGCCGCGGGCATCGCGATTGGCATCGTCGGCGACGCGGGCGTACGCGCCAACGCGCAGCAGGCCAAGCTCTACGTCGGCATGGTGCTGATTCTCATCTTCGCAGAGGCGCGCGCACATCCCCGCTCCGCCCGCTGTGGCCGACTCCGCGGCCCCATCGCCTCCCGCCGCGCAGCGCCGCTCGGCCCGCGCGTGCGCACGTGCTGACGACGCGCGCCCGCGCGCATCCGCCCCTAGGCGCTCGGTCTCTATGGCCTCATCGTCGGCCTCATCCTGACCTCCAAGTCCCACGTGTGCGGCGACTGAGCTCCGCGTCGACGCTCCGCCCCCTCCCCGAGAGGGGGGGGATCGAGGCGCGGCATCACACGAAGCCTGGGAGGCACGCTCCCGAGAGTGGCCTTACGTCTGTAGCGGGCTCGAGTGGGGTAGATTGGGTCGCGCCCCATGCGCGCTCGCGGTTTGCGGGTTGGGTGTTGCGCCGCACGATCGTGTCTGCTGTCTCGTCTTGTCACGATTTCCTTTTCACCCATTTGTGGTATATTCCGGTCCCGCGGGGTCGGGGGCCGCCACCGCGCACAGCGACGTGCACCGAGAGTGGAGAGAGGCGCGGCCTGGCGCGATGTCGCGGAAGCGCCCCGCCCCCGCCGCCGGACAGGGAGTCGGCCGGCGCGAGCGACGGCCGCCGAGCTTTAGGTCGCCGACATACAGCGAATATTGTGCACCGAACGCTAATGAGGGGGGGTCCGACCCCCCACGACGTTATCATGCTCCCCACCGCGGGGGGAGCAAGAGATGATCTCGAAGAGGGAACGCGAACCTTCCTCGAGCTTTGAGGGGAGCGAGGAGGATCAGAGGGAGCGAAGGAGAACCTTCGATATTGAGCTGATATTGTGGGGAACCAATTCTGACCACTCGGGTTACAGATCCCCCCCCGAGTCTGTAACGACTCGAGAGATTACGAAACTTGAGATCCTCGTGGTAGCTGCAGAGCGTTCCTCTGTGCTTGTGCTAGCTCGTGCGCTGCAGTCTCTCGCTGTCCGTCGGCTTGTTTGTATCCCACCCACCCACCCTGGGGTCGTGGTGCCTTCCTCCTGTCACGCCGCTGGCCTGACAGTCGATCAGGCACTTCGTTCTGGGAGTGTTCTACCCCCTTTGCTATACTTCAAAAGGTCTAGTACATGTTCATGAGAAGGGCACAGACAGCGGTCGCCGTCCTAGTGTGCGGAGTGGGGCGGAGTGCGGAGAGGAGACCGGAGACCGGAGATAAAATAAATAAAAACGGACACCTCTACTGTGAGATGGGTAAAAAGGAACAGGTCCCCGCCCGTGCGATCTTTGTGCAGGGTTCTTTGTGGGTGTGGCCGGCGACTAGCCGGGGTCGTCTCCTCCACCACGATAGGGGACTTATGTAGCACTAGCCGTCTTCCACATGGTCCCTCGGGTCCCTGCTGCTCCTAATCTCGTCGTACATCCTCCTGCTGATCTCCGCAAAGTCCTGCTCCCTCCCTCGTCTCGCCCTGCGCGTCTGCTCCGCCTCCACATCGTCTGCCCTGCGTCGTCTGGTGACGGGTCCTCCATAGTCGGTTGAGGTCGCCGCCCTCCCTCGTGCCTCTTCCCAACGTTCCCTCGGCGGCCGATGCCGTCTGCTCCGGCTCCGCCGTCCCCGGGTCTGCCCTGCTCTCGTCCGCGCTAGCTTCTGTTTCGTCATCACTGGTGTTTCTCCTCTTCTTTCTCCTCTTCTTGTATGCTTTGTACATTCCGCGCGTTGATATTTTCCTAGATATTTTCCGACCCGCCGCTTTCCCTTCGGAGAGACCGCGGAGGCGGGGAGGCGGTCGCTTCTTTCTCCATAGAATCATAGTGAATCTATGCCATAGTCTTTTGTGAGTCTCTGGAGACGAATATCACATCCGCCATCCCCTCGCGCAAAGACCAAAGTCCGCAAGCGCGCTCAAGGCACAAGGGCACGGCACGCCGCGAGACCGCGGGCGGACCGGCGGACCCACGGCTCACCCGAGTGTGGGCGCCGCGGGGACGACGGAAGGTCCGCGCGCACATGGAATATTGGTGGCCACACACAGCCACGTGCATCTCCGCACCCGGCACACGCCGCAAGGCGCACGCCGTACTCCTACCTAAGCCTTAGCAGCCTTTGCCTTCTTCGCCTTGGCGGCGGGCTTCACCTCGCCCTTGCCGACCGCCGGCGCCGCGGCCGGCGCCGCCGGCGCCGCCGCGTACGGCACCGACGAGTGGTGGAGGTAGATGCGCACCTTGCCGTCGCCGCACCGCTTGTAGCCAAAGGTGTACTCGACGCGCACCTTGTCGCCCGAGGTGGCGTCGACGAAGACGTAGTCGCCCATCGCGTGCGCCACCTCGCCGTAGCACTTGATCTGGTGGTTGCGGAACGTCACGTCCTTCCAGCCGCGGCCGCCGTTGATCGCGAAGCCGGCGTCCTCGCCCTTGAAGGCGTCATTCTTCATCGCCTCGGCGCCGACAAAGTACGACATCGCCTCCTCCGCCGTCGGGCGGAAGGGGTGCTCCGTCGCCTTGGTCGGCTTGAAGAGCACGTCGGTGTGGCCGTAGCCGTACAGCTGGCCCGCCGCCTCGCCCGCCGCCGCGACGTAGTCGCCCTTCTCGGCGTACACCTTGGAGATGGAGGCGATCGAGTCCGCCCACAGCTTCTGCGCCGCCAGCACCTCCGCCTCCGTCACCGCCGCCGGGCCCGCCGCCGGGCCCGCCGCGTACGGCACCGACGAGTGGTGCAAGAAGATGCGGCACTTGCCGTCCTCATTCTGGCGGCCATCGGGGCGGGTGGTCATGGCGGGTGGGGACGGCGGAAGCAGGGGCGGCGGTGGCAGAGAGGGTGGTGCCGGCGGTGGCGGACTCAGTGGTGGCGGTGGGCAGGGCGGCGAAGGGCTGGGCGGCGGCGGGCTGAGTGGTGGCGGGCTGGGTGGTGGCGGGGAGGGCGGAGGCGGCGAGGTGACTTGCAGAGGCGTGCAGAGCCCTGACAGGGTGCTCGGTGCACACGCACCACACACCTTGCGGTAGCCAAAGGTGTACTCGACGCGCACCTCGTCGCCCGAGGTGGCGTCGACGAAGACGTAGTCGCCCATCGCGATGGCCGAGTCGCCCAGGAGCTCGACCTGGCGCAGGGGAAGGGGTTTCCTCGCTGCGCCGGCGCGGAGCAGGGTGGAGCAGGGGCGGAGCAAGGCGGAGCAGGGGCACGGGCAAAAAAGCTCCCGAACCGGGCGCCACCAGCCCGGCTGCCGCGCTCTCCCGACGCGGCCTCGGCCGGATCCCAGGCGTGGCGTCTGCTCACCTGGTGGTTGCGGAAGGTGACGTCCTTCCAGCCGCGGCCGCCGTTGATCGCAAAGCCGGCGTCCTCGCCCTTGAAGGCGTCGTTCTTCATCGCCTCGGCGCCGACAAAGTACGACATCGCCTCCTCCGCCGTCGGGCGGAAGGGGTGCTCCGTCGCCTTGGTCGGCTTGAAGAGCACGTTCGTCTTGCCATAGCCGTACAGCTCGCCCGCCGCGGTGGCCGCCATGTCGACAAAATCGCCACCCTCGGCGTGCACCGCCGAGATGGTTTTGATGGCGCTCGCCCAGTTGGCCTGCGCCGTGTGCACTTCATCTATGCTGATGGCGTCGCTGGAGGCGTCGAACCGGCCAAAGGAGAGCCGGTCAAGCGGAGTGGGCTCAGGCTCGACCAGCTCAGCGGCTGGGTCGGATGAATCGTATCCCCAGTAGAAGCCAGCCGGTGCCGCGTTCTCCACAGCGACAGCCGCACGCACGAAGGCGCGGGAAGGGGCGGTGGCGTACCGCGCTGGGCCGGCCACCAGGCCGGCGGCGGAGATGCAGGAGAGGGACAGCATCGCCTGCCGAGCTCTGGCGAAGGCTGTCGACGCGGAAAAATTGCCCACGAAGGGGAAAGCGCGTCCCGTTTTCATGTTTAGGTATGTCCCGTTTTCATCTTTGCAAAAACGCCCGCGCCGCGAGCTGCGCGCGCCGGGGCTCTGTCTCACTCACGTGCCGCAATATGTGTCACACACGGCGGCTTCTGCCACCTCTCGATCGGTTCCACTTCGCAGCACACCCAAGGGGCGCTTCGCGCTTGGGTGGGAGCGGGGGGGGGCGTGGGCGCGGGCGGGGGGCGCAGCGCGCGGCGCGCGCGTGCGCGCAACCGAGGGTAGGGGTGGGGAAGACGGCGAGGAGGGGGCGGCGGCGGCGGCGGCGGCAGCGCGCGCGCGGCGCGCGCGACGGAGGGGAATAGTTGGAGCGCGTCCCGTTTTCACATGTTTATCCGGCCCTCATAACCCTACGGCGTCCCCTAAGCGCGGTTTGGTGTCGCCGACGCGATCCACAGCTGCATTGGATATGATCAGGTCGCGCTAGTGCCGCGCACCAACCTCGTGTTACGTGTATGCCAACCAGCAGTTCTTCGACGGCTCGCGCTGGCAGTGGACGGTGCCGCCCCTCCGCGCCGACAACGCGCTGGTCAACGGCCCGCTCCCGCTGATGACTCTGTGGAGGAAGGAGCGCGGGCTAGATGCCGAGTCCGTGTCCCGCCTCTGGCGTGGGTGCGAGTCCATTCTCCCTCGCCCGTCAGCAAGCCACGCACTCGGCTGCACTCGCCCAGAGGTCAAGCCCAGAGGTAAGCCCAGAGGTCAAGCCCCCGTGTCCGCGGTGTTTGTACGGCGGGTCTTAGGGCTAGCCGCTTGAGGCCTCGTCACTGCTCGAGTGAACGGTAGGACCTCTGGCTAGCGACGCCGCACGGCTTCGACGAGGCGCTCCCAAAGGGGCACGAAGACTGGGCCTTCTGGCTGCAGCTCACGGAGCGGCTGCCGCTCGACTCGGTGCTGTGTCCGACAGCTCGCTGCGTCTCTGAGATTAGGCTGCAGCTGACGCGGCTGCCGCTGCTGCCGCACAAGCTGGACGACTTCCTCACCCAGTACCGCTACAAAGAAGGACTCCAAGATGCGCACGCGAGAGCGCAACAACCCGGAGGCGCCGCGGCTCCCCCGCCTGCACGAGAGACGCCTTCCGAGAGACGCCTTCCGAGACCCTCCCTCGAGCCGTCCTGCAGGTCCCGCGGCTCATGCGCACCCTCTTCGCCGACCTGTGCGCGAACCTTCCGAGAACCTTCCTCCCTCCCCGCCCCGGCCGCTGCCTCCACCACCGCCCCGAGGAACGCCCACCCCGCCGGTCGATACCGCCGCCTCCACTCTGCCCGCCTCCACTCCGCCACCCTCCGACACGTCCTCCGACACGTCCGCCGACACGTCCACCCACACGTCCGCCTGACACGTCCACCCACACGTCCACGGCGCGTCCGCAGGTACCCGGTGCGCAAGCTGCTGATCGACCACCACGAGCTGCTCAAGCCGGCCGACGAGCCGAGCCAGAAGCCGGGCATCACCGAGGCGGTCGTCATGGACGTCTCCGTCTCGCAGCACCTCCACCCCACCCGCCCGGAGCCGCACCTCTGGTCGGGGATGATCCTGCAGGCAAAGGGCGACCTGGCCGGCGCGGCGGCCGCGTACAACGCCTCCGCCGCGCTCGCCGCGCCGTACGATTGGCAGGGCTCCTACCGCTTCTGGCGGGCGCTGCTCCTGCTCGGCGACGGCGCCGCAGCGGCGCGCGAGGAGGCGGCGCTCCGCCGGCGGTGGGGCGACGCGCAGATGCGATGGTACAGCACAGACGCTTATGGTGACGTACTGCCTGCCGCGTCGGAGTGAGCGGCGCTGCCCGTGTCGTATATCCTCGTCTATCACACGTGACTGCGGTGTATTTGTAAAAGACGTCAATGGGTCAATGACGGACGACGAAAGCATCACGTGTGACACTGTATATGCCGTGCAGCGTAATCCGGACCTAGATGAAGCCACGTTTTTGCATCCTAACAGCCGTGAAGAGGCCTGCCGGGATCGACCACCGCCAGCTAAAGCCCAGCTCGTGAAAACAGAAGAAGGAAATCGCCAGCGTCACGAGCAGCGGCGCTGCGAGGTTGAGGAGCCGCTCAGGACGTAGCCTCATCAGCGATCTGTGTGGCGGCACAACCTGCGAGTCCGTAGCGTCGACGCTCTTTGCGTGGCCTCCAGCGCAATGGCCTGGGAGCGGGCGAGTAGAGGCACGCCGCTCGGCAACGAGCCGGGCAGCCACGCCCCCGACCACGAGAGGGCGATGCCAATCGAACCCCGTGTGCGGGGGGCCTCTACTCGCCCGTAGGATTCCTAGTGCGAATAAAAAAGCTAGGGCGCATAACACAATTTCTTGCAGCCTGCAAATTCTTTTTGCCGCTACCCGACCATTTTGCTCGGACTCTCTGCTAGGACTGCCGGGCGTGATCTCGACCCGCGCGCGCACAAAATTTCTTCTTTACCGTCCTTCCTTGTCGCCCAATAAGCCGCGACCATTGCTCTGTGCTGCTCTGTGCTGCGGCAGGCCACCCCGGCGCAGCTTTGGGATGCAACCAATCGAATGCGCCAGTTGCGACGCCGGCTGGGACGACTGTGGGACCTGCTTGATGCTTGTCGAGAGCTCGGGCTGCCCCTGGACCTCGGCAATCATTCGTGGCTGCAGCGGTGGCACATCGCTCAACTCATTTTGCGACGGTAACGGCAGTTGTGGGACGTCAGACGTCGCCAACAACTGCCGCCTCGGCAAGGACATCTACAAGCGGGTCGAGTGCACCGCCACGCCTCCATCGGCGCCTCCCGCGACCCCGCCGAGCAGCCCACCCTCACCACCCCCACCCATGCCACCGTCCCTGCCCATCGCGGATGTAAGCTTCCTCTCCGCCGATGCCAATGACGGACAAGCGTGGCTGGTGCCGCTGGTTGCGGGCAGCGTCGCAGTCTCATTGACGCTCTGCCTCTGCTTCCTCTGCTGGCGCTGCTGCGGCCGTCGCCACAAGCGCGCCCCGGGTGCTCTTATGCCCGCCGCAGCGCGGCCAGTCTTCGATCCCGACCCGGATGATAGCCCCTTCAAATGCCCATAAGCAACATGTCATGCAGACTGAGACCCCGCTCTTCGCGGCTGACGGCGGCGCGGCATGTCCATGTCCATGTGCGAGACGTGTGCGAATAACACCGTAAACACGCCTGACACACCGCACACGCAGGACACATCTCACAAATGTCAAATCGGAAAAAAGCGCTCGGATGTACGATCTGGCAGGCCCCAGCCAGTTCTTAGTGGTCCAAATCACCTCATCGAGGTACTGGGCCCGCGTCAGCTTGTTCTGTACGGCACGTCCACTTGAGGCAAACTGCGGGTAAATAAATATTTTTGAAGGGATGAACGCGAGCTCGTGGGGTCCACGAAAGCACCGCTTGGCGGTGTCAGAACCGCCCTCTTTGACCCTGGGGGGCCGAATCTGCGCCCTCTGGGCCCCGGCGGCGGTCCCGGAGAGGGCCAGCACGCGGGCTCCGCCGACGCTCTCGCAACGCGGGTCGCGCCGCGCGCCTCCCGGACGAAGCGTGTTGGTGCGCGACGGCGATCCCCGCCTGCAGGGAGCGGAGCACACGCGTCGGATGGCGAGGGCAGCACAAATATTGCACTCACGTCCCAGTATGGCAGCAGCCGGACGGGTTGGGTGGCGTGAGGGCAGGGTGGTGAGGATGATTCCACAGATCTCGCTGGAAATGGCCGTGTCCTTCCCGGGGGAGGCAGGCGAGCACGCACCTCGCGTCCGAGCGCGAGTCGACGAGTGGTCGCCGAGAGATCGCCGAACCACTTTCGAGTGCGCGCGCACACAGCACAGCTGCGGGTTGTAACTCGACTGCCGATCGCGCGTGCGGGATGTAAACGCAGCTCGCTGGCGCCAGTGCACGGTGGCAGGGACTGGAGGCTCGGCCGAAGGGGAAGAGCAGTCCTCAATCGTCACGTGGAGGTCGCTGGGCTGGATCCATCGAACTGCCCCACACCTGGAGCGGAGGCACATCAGGTCTTGCGGCACACTCTCCGACAGATGCATGCCTTTTGAGCAAGCCCACGCGCCTCCACCGTCGCGTAGTATGCCAGCGGCACGCCGGTACGCCGACGAGTCGTGCGCGCTCGGCAGTAATCGGCGTTGAGACTGCCTAGCGCGCACATCGAGAGCGCCGAGTTGTGTTGCCGCGAGGAATCCTGCTCGAAGATGGGGTCCGAGCGGCGCCTGATCGCATGGGATGGATCAGTGGGGCTATCACGTGGGTACTAGGCCTGCTCAGTCAGGAGTTGGCGAGTGTGTGGGAGATTCACGCCCGTCGCTCAACGTCTGTTGAAAAACTGTTCGCTGAGCAAGCTCACGGTCGAGCGGGCTTGACGCGCGCTTCAGGATAGCAAGAGGCGTGCCCACTCCCCTGAGGAGCGTGCGGGCACGCCTGGGAATCGATGTGGAGCGACCATGGACTGGGATGACAGCCGGCGAAGCACTGCGCCAAAACCATGGCGCCGAAAAGCGTCCGCCCTCGGCGTGCTGCAAGCTTCACGGCGGAGGCTGTGAAGTCGCGGCATCGAGTTCAACCTGAGCGCACGCACGCACCGTGCTGGGGAGGAGTTGGCCTGCGAGCGGCGAGCGCTCCCGAGCGCGCGGCGCCCCGTTCTGGCCATCTTGCGCTTTACCACCACAAAATCGCCTCCATTTTGCGCGCCTCCGGTGGCAGGTCTAGCCGGGCCCGATTGATGAAACTTTTGATGGTTGCGCGCCGGATCTCGACTCCACCGTGCTACGGTGCGTCCCAAAGCAAAACTTGTGGCAGAGGGGCCAGATTGGCCGATTTATAACGACTGGACAGCGTCTGAAGGCTATTTTGCGGCGACACCGATACGCGGTTGAGGGCCCACGGTTGTGGCTAGTGGAGGGTGCTGTACAATCCGAGGGCGTTCCCGTGGCCTCACGGGCCCGGTCGACGATCGTGGCCAGAAAATTCAAAAAGTTTCATCCGTGGGGGCGAGATATTTAACTGTCTAGCTCGATTTTGACCCATAACTAGACAGAACGGCCCCAAATCGGCCCGGAACCGACCCGTGGGCCCGTCTGCCGCACCCAGCTCCGCCGGGAGGGGCGCGCGCCGTTCCCCGCGGGTCGGGCGGGCCACGCAGACACGGCGGGCGAGCTTCCCGTGCCCTGTGAGAGCCGTCACACCGCCTCAAACAGGTCCCAAAGTGGGGTTTGCCTCAAGTGCACGTCCGCCGAAGAAAAGAATTTTACGAGCGGTACTGAGCCAGTCCAAACACGCGAAAAGGGAGGGAAAAAGAATCTTGAAGGCCGCGCGAGCGAGAACAGATCGAGAGACATCACACCAATGGACATGCACACCGCATCTGCAGGCTCAAACAACAAAAACAAAATGAATGAGGACAGGTGCAGCTCACGAACAGGCCACATAATCGTGTCCAGGTAAGAGCCAAAAGCACGCTGCACGGCCGCACACCACCGGCCCGGGGTGGGGGGGGGGGGGCCACCAACTGCACGCACCCACGCTGTACCACAGGCGCTGCACGCCGGGTATCGTTGCACGCGCCACGGCGCAGAAGAACGCGAAAATTGAAAAGGTGAAGGCACAAATTTGCGAGGCGAGAAGACGGCTGCGAGTAGCTCGCGGAGGAGTCACACGGCTTCGCCTCAGGCCCCGGGACCTTGGTTGTGGAGAGGAAGAGAGCGCATCTCTAGTGGTAGCAGAAGTAGCAGCTGCCGCAAAGCTGGGTTTTGGGGCAGTGCTTGTCGGGGTTGTTCTTGCACCACGGCATGCACACGTTTGCCGGCGGCGGTGGCGGCCCGCAGGGGTCGCAGTACTCGAGCGTGCCGCACGCGATGCGGCCGCCGTCGTACCCGTGCACCACAAAGGCCTTGCCGAGCACATCGAGCGAGGTGCCGCCCATGACGGCGGACAGCTTCCCCTCCGCGTTGCCGTTGGTGGAGGAGACGTAGGAGAGGCTCTTCTCCGTCCACGGGTCGGCGAAGCCGTTCGTGGCGTAGTGCCCGCCAACCTCGCTGGCGGCCTCGCACGAGGAGCCCGAGTGGATGTGAAGGCCACACGAGTTGCCGAACGAGGCGTTGTACCCGCCAGCGCAGCCTGTGCGTGGCGCGGACGGAGAATGGGCTGGACGCGGGCGAGGGCGCGGGCGCGGGCGCGGGCGCGGGCGCGGGCACGGGCGTGGTCGAGGGCTGTGCGCGGTGTGCCGAGGTCGAGGCCCTTGAGCGTATAGTCGAAGTACTGCGTGGTCTTGTCCACGGTAACCATCGTGATGACACCCGTCGCGTCGGGGAAGGCGCCGTAGTAGCCGGGGTAGGTTGCAAAATTGGTCACGCACAGCGGGTCCACCACGGGCTCCATCAGCGCGCACGCGATGCGCCCGCCGTTTGCGTCGTGGACGACAAAGGCCCGGCCCAGCAGGTCGCTCGTAGTCGCGCCCGTGTCGGCGTCAAAGTTGCCCGAGGCGGTTCCGATTGTCGTGCTGTAAAACGCGACGTAGTCCGCGCCCATGCCGCCGTCGGACCACGGGTCGGCCGCGGGGGGTTGGTAATAGTGCCCCCCGACCTCGGAGGCGCTGGAGCAGGTGAAGCCAGAGTGGATGTGGATGCCGCACGCGTTGCCGGAGAGTTCGAGTGGGTCGGTGCCGGTGCAGCCCGTGTCGAGGCCCGACAGATCGTAGACGAAGGTCTGTGGGTAGGAAGGCGTGGGGGTGTGATCGAAACCACGGACAGCAATGGGCAGGGTGGGGCGACGGCTCGGGAAGCAGGCCTGCACGCCATCCCCGTCCGAATACAGGGTGACCTTGCCAGTGACCGACGAGAAGGGGCCCCCGTAGCCTGCCCGTAGCCCGGGTAGGGGCCGAACTTGACGGTGGCGAGCTCGATCTTGGGGCCGCACTGGGCGCCGAGGTGAATGGCGGGAGCGATTGAGAGCATGTTGTCGCGGACGTACGGAGTTGTGCTGGGCTGTGGCGGGCTGCAACACACCGGCCCGAACTAACGGCAAATTCCGGGCCGAAACGCATTGAACTGGCGACTGATCTCGGCATCATATCTAAAAGTCGAGCGCCGCTGCATCTGACTGCAGCAGCCTCGATCTGGATGCATCTTGGGTCTCCCCCCTCTACCTACCTACCAATTAGAAATACCTACAACCAATTAGAAGGCGGGAGAAGCCGCCGTGGCTGATGCGGGAGCAAGAAGGACGCTGTCCGAAACGCTTGGACTCACTCAGTCACTAGCCGGGTTTTTCGTTGTACGTACTTTTAGCTTACTCTCTCTCGTTCGTTGTATGTGGCTCTTTACGTACACAAAACTCTCTCTACATTCCCGTAGGAGGACTCTGCTGACAGGGTTTGCGCGGTATGTTGTATCTGGTTACTTACCAGACAATGCTCGCGTGTCACGCTTTTTATCTAGACTCAAGTCTTATATAAGACATATGCGCTATATGGTTTGTATATCGGCGGGCAATTGCATGAAAAGAGGCGCATCGTTGCGGTTTCCGCGACTGTCGCGGAATCTTATGCGGATGGCTATACGTCGATGGCTCTAAAGGTCGGCGACGTCTACGTCAAGCCCGGCCAGGAGATGGAGCTCGAGCCCAACGAAGAGGGCTGCTTGGTAGTCGAGACAACACGGGCGCTCAAGGTGAGGACCGAGGAGAAGGTCCTGCAGGCCCAGGCGGCCAAGGAGGCGGCCAAGGACCTGCCGCCGCAGTACACGTTTGACGCTTGGCAGACGCCCCTGCTCTGCGCATGCCCACCCCAGTGCGCCTTTGGGCCCGACCCATGCTGCCTTCTCCACGTCAAGGGCCTGGCCTGCTCGTGCTGCCCGCCCAGCTGCAAGTGCTGCTGCATTCAGTGCCCGCCCGAGTGCTGCTCCAACATCGGCTCCGGCTGCCCGACCTGCTCCTGCCCAACGTGCACCTGCTGCCCTCCGTCGTGCACTTGGTGCGACATCACGTGCCCGCCAAAGTGCGACTGCCTCCCGTGCCCGTGCCCGACGTGCACGTGCTGGCCCTGCCCTCCGTCGTGCACGTGCTGCGACATCACCTGCCCGCCCAAGTGTTGCACCACCTGCGAGTGCTGCCCCTCTTGCTGCGGCGTCAAGACGGTCGGCATCGCGTGCATCCTTTGCCACTGCACCACCACAATGTACCCCAAGTGCTGCCCGGCATGCCTCTGCTGCACCGTTGAGGTGATCGACGCCGCTCGCAACAAGAACATCTATCGCGGGAAGGCGGCCGAGTGCGTTTCGTCTGTGGACGTTAAGATGGACCTGAACGGCCAGGCCGGCGGACCGGAGGGCGAAGAGATGCAGCGCTAAGCGTTTCGTGCGCGGCCCATGCTGTTCCTGTTGCCGCCTGTGAGCATCTGGATGTAAAGCCGCATGATGCGTGGGCTAGAGTCTCGGCACGGGCTCGCAGGGGGTGACGGGTGTCGGTGCACACGGCTGTGCCAGACTCTTGAGGAGGGATTGCGCTCTGTGCACTGTGTTGAGTGTGCTGGACTCTGGCGAGCCTCCGCGCGCTCCGGCCCCGGCTCCGGGGACCGGGGGCGCGGGGGGCCGGGGGCGGTGTTGCAATGGACGCGGCGCGCTTGGTTTCGTGGTTTGGTGCTTGGTGGAGACGCCGATTATTCGAAGAAAAACACGCTCCGCATAAGCCGCGCAAACCTCGCGGATCTCGAAAGATATAATCCACAGGCGGCAGCGCGCTCGCGCTCGCGCTCGACAGCGCAGGACAAAAAAAGACGATCAGACGCTCGCCGCAGCTGCGTGCGCCTCCGCCGCCTCTCGTCGTACCTCCGCCGCGCTCGGCCGCTGCGCGTCGTCCCGGCGCAGCATCGCCCTCGCCAGCCGCGCGGAGGGCGAGAGGTCCGCGGCCGGCGCGCCGGCGGCGGGCGGCGGCGCCATCAGCCGCATCACGGCTTCTGCGCGCTCCATCGAGGTTGCGAACTGGCCGAAGACCTCCGCCACCACCACGCCGAACGAGAAGACGTCGCTGCTCGGGTCCGCCGGCCGGGGGTCGCCGCAGAGGCGCTCGGGCGGCGCGTAGGCGGGCGTGCCTGCAGCAAGGGCCAGAGCGAGCAATCTGGGGCCCGAGAGCCGGAGGGCGGCAGTCTTGGGCGGGCGTGGCCGCGCCTCCCGCAGCCGCCAGCGACCCCGTGCGCGCGCAGCAGCCAAAGTCGGCCAGCTTGACGGCGCCGGTGGCGGGGCACGCAAAGATGTTCGCCGGCTTGACGTCGTTGTGCACCTGCGCGCGGCGCATGTCGCAGCGAGGTGGGCGGTGGGAGGAGGGTGGAGAGGAGCGGAGAGGGAGGGGAGGGAAGAGTCGGCTGGGGCGGGGTGGGGTGGGGTGGGGTGGTGGTGGTGGTGTGTGTGTGTGTGGGGGGGGGGGGGGGGGGGGGGGCTTTGAGCCGATTCCTGCGTCGCGCACCCGCCCCGCTGCGGCTACGAGCATCGCGAGTCCTCTCGAGTACTCCCGGCGAATCTCGGCGAATCTCGGCGAATCTCGGCGAATCTCGCGCACCCAGCCCGCCGCGTGGACCGCCTCGAGTCCGGAGGCCACGCCGCGGACCCACAACCACCTACGGCCGCACCCGAGGGGCGTGAAGAGACGCTGCTCGCACCCACAGCCGCGCCGCAGCCCCTCTGCCACCGCGTCGCGTCGGGCACCGCTGCCCCGTCCGCCGCCGCCCCGTCCGCCGCCGCGCGCTGCTGCCTCTGCTGCCGCCCGCCGCCATGCGAGAGCCAGTGCGCGAGGGTGGGGTAGGGGCAGAGCTCCATCTGGAGAAAGAGCCACGCGCCTACGGAAGGGTCCGAGAAGGGTCCGAGAAGGGTCCGAGAAGGTTCCGAAGCTCGTCCATCTGGAACTAGAGCCACGCGCGCCTACAGATGGCAGGCCACGCTCCCCGTCACAGCTCTCGCCCTGGCTGATCAGCGTCTGCAGGCGTAGCTGCGCGCCCGCGCTCCGGCGCAGTCCGAGCTCGTCGCGCAGTGCGGAGACCACCTGCAGGGAAGGGTCCGAGAAGGGTCCGAGAAGGGTCCGAGAAGGGTCCGAGAAGGGTCCGAGAAGGGTCCGAGAAGGGTCCGAGAAGGGTCCGAGAAGGGTCCGAGAAGGGTCTAAAAGCTCGTCCGCAGTGTGCGGAGACCGGTGAGGGAGGGAGGGAGGGAGGGAGGGGGTCCGGCCGTTCTCCTCGCCGCGCAGCCCAAAGGCGCTGGCACGTGAGGAGCAGCGAGCAGCGCGCGCAGGGCTGCGCGCGCGTCGACTGGCGGAGAGTGCGCGTGTGTCGAGGGCGCGGCGCGCCTGGCCGCCGCCAGACGCCGGCGCAACCTGTGCGGTGGTGCGGATGCTGCAGCCGACATCACCTCCGATGCCACTTCTGCTGCCGCTGCTGCCGCTGCTGCCGCTGCTGCCGCTGCTGCCGCTGCTGCCGCCGCTGCCGCTGCTGCCGACGCTGAAGTCACTCAAGCAGCTGGCCTCGCCCACGCGCCCGCCCGCGCCGCCGCGCGGGGAGGATGAGAGGGCGCGGACCCAGTCTCCGCCCGCCTCCACCCACGCGCCGTAGTAGCGGAGCAAGTCGTCGGACGGGGGCATAGACGCGAGCGCCCGCACCTCGGCGAGCGCCGCCGCGTCCACGTCTGCCGGCCAGGCGACCACCTTGATGGCAAACTCGTCTTGCGGCGCGGCGCGGCTGCGCGCGGCGACCACGACACCAAAGGCGCCCCTGCCCAGCACGCGGCCGGGCAGAAAGTCGCGGTGCAGACGCGGCAGCGACGGGGCGGAGGCCGAGGAGTCCGCGGGGGCGGGAGCAGGGTGCGCCGTGGCGGTGGCCACCCCGCAGAGCGGGGTGCGCGCGCCCAGCGAGGACGCGCCGCCGCCGCCGCCGCCGCCGCCGCGCCGCCACCGCCGGTACTCTGCACGGAGGGCCATGTCTTGGCTGAGCGGTGAGTCGCTGCGGAGGCTGCTCGGCGCATGCGCTGCGGAAACGTGAGCGTTGTTGGCGAGGGTGCGGACGGCGATGCTGCCGACGACGCCGCTATTGGCGTACGCGCCGCGGTAGAAGGTGGAGCGCATGGCGTATTCGGGCCGTCTGCCCCGACAGCCGCGGCCCACAAAACCCCGCTTTCTTTTTCTTTTCGAGCTACTCGAGTTTCGTATGGCCAAGAGAGAGAGAGAGAGAGAGAGAGAGAGAGAGAGAGAGAGAGAGAGAGAGAGAGAGAGAGAGAGAGAGAGAGAGAGAGAGAGAGGCTTGCTGCTCGCTGCGATGGCGAAGAACTCGTCTCGTCACACGCCAAGGGCTTATGCTCTGTCGAGACGTGAGGCGTATGCGCCCAGGAGGGGAGGGCGCATGCGTAACGACGCTGCTAGAGATGCCTTTCGGGGCCCAGAGATAAAACTTCTGATGCCATGCGTGACCTAGTAGTGTCCCCAGCTATGGGCGTGTCCACGTTGGAGCCAGGTGTGGTGTGGACGCGAGAATAGCTCCGCCGTTCATGGAGGCAACCGATGCGAGTCGACTGGTGTGTGTCGTCGTGGTTTCGTATCAAGAATTCTCTCTCTCTATGGCCAAGGAGGCCGCCTAATCGAATCGCCCGAAGCGCTAGCGCTTGCGCTAGCGCAAGCTCGCACGGCCTCTCACGCCCCGCTGCTGCCCTCTTGGCGGCTCTCCGCCCGCCAGCTCGACCAACTCGACCGCCGAGAGGCTGGGCTTGGCCGGCGGCGCGACGCGTGGCCTGTGCTGCGGCCATCTCGGACGTTCAAGCGGCGCCAGCCAGCGGCTTGGCCGCGCATCCTTCACACACGCCGCCACGACCGGGATGAGCGGGCCCGGTGTCGAGTCATGGTGCGAGCTGCATGTGAGGGGCGGCTGTGGCCACAGCAGGTCCACCAGACGGGCGTCAAAGCTTGCCGTCGGCGTGCTGTCGTGGGGGGTGCCCGACACGCATTGAGAGGAGCCGAGTGCAGTGGCGAGCCAAAGGCTGCCTGGGTCACCAAGTGATAGCCCTTGCCAATTCTGAGCAGGGCTGTGCTTTGGTGGGGTTGTGTTTGAGCATGTGTGAAGTGGGAGTGCGTGCCGGCGGTGTCTGTGGCTGAAACGGGCGTGTGTGAGGCTGCAGAGCCGTGGTATGAGCCATTACCTAGGCCTTGAATAGAATTTTACAACAAAACTCCCTCGCACAACACTGGGCACGGGACTGGCGCGCACTGGCACTAACACAGGTACACCACGGGAGCCGCCTAAGCGACTCCTGCGAGGGCGGCGAGGCACTTAGCTCCGTGCACCCGCCCACCCCCGCCACACACAGGCAAGCTCATTCACGACCTGCTCTGCGATGGCCGTGTGAAGAACGACTGAGATGCGCTGCTTCTGCAGCCCCAGCCAGCTCTTGGTGGTCCAAGTCACCTCATCGAGGTACTGGGCCCGCGTCAGCTTGTTCTGTAGCACGTCCGCCGCCTTCCGGAGGATCTCACGGACCCCCTTTCCGAACCTGCCGAACGATTCGAACAGCAGCAGCTGCACTTCGACGCCCTTGTCTTCCCTGGCGTAGCGATAGTCCCCGCGTAGGACGCTTGAATAGAAACAAGCGAAGGCACACACAACATGACGCCAAACACACGATTGCACGCACCGCACCGGACCCCGCACCCCGCCACTGTGTGCTTGATCCGGCGGTATATTTTTGGGCTATCTCTGCTCAAAAACGATGTCAAGCGCCCGCTCGCAGCCAGCCGCGCCGCGCCCCTGGGCGCTCCCCGCTGCGGCGCGCCGCCCGCGCGCGGGTTGCCCGGGCGAGCGACCGCCACCGCTCGCCCCTCAGCACCCTCTGCCCGCGCACGGCCGACGCGCAAGCCCGCGGTCGCGCGCGAGCCGTCGCTTTGCGCACGCCGCCGTCTACCCGCGCTCGCTCGCGAACGAGTCCGGTGACCCTATATTCCGAGTAGCGGAGGTGTGCTTGCACCCCCTTCCCAAGGCACATGCACTTTGGAGGGAGAAAGTGGCCACTGCGGCGGCCGCAATCTCACATTAGGCACCTCACCCCCAGCAGGCGCGTTCTCGGCGTGCTGCTCCTGCACAGGTTTTGCGGCCGCCCCGAGAGGGGGAGCGGCCGCTCCTCCGCACCATCGGCCCACGGCATCCTGGGCGGCGTCGGCGCCGCCCCAACGGCCGGCTCGGGCGCTTCCCGCCCCGCCTCGGCTACACTTTGTCGCGGCGATCCAGCGGTGCGCCGCCGCACGGCGCGCCTCCCCGGAGCCTCTGTACGGCGCGATGAGCCGCCTCGGCTGCCGCCGTGGTTGCGCCGGCGCCCCTCCCGCACGGCGCGACGCTACCGCAGCCGCCTGCGTGGTCTCACTCACCTCTCCCGCCCGCGCGTCCGCCTCTCAGACCCGCGCCTCCCCTTTCCCAGGCGCCATCACCGGCACGGCCGCCGCCGCCCGTGCGGCACCCGCGGCACCTCCCGCCCCCCTGGCGATGCTGGCCGCTACCCCGCCGCCGTAGCTACCCTCCCCACCGCTGGTGCACCGCCTCCGCTGCCCCCCTCGGCGCTTCGCCCGTGATTTTGCCGCCTCCTCCTCCACCACCACCCGTCTAAGCTTCCGCCCGCCTTCTCGCCACCGCCGTCCGCGCCACCTCAGCCGCCCTCCCCGGCGCTGCACCGGCGCTGCAGTGCCGTCGGCGCCGCCGCCCGTGCCGCCTCGGCCTCTGCGCCTCCAACCTCGCCGCGTCCGCAGCGGTTCCGCCCTCGGCGCCTCCCACCTCTCACCCGCCAGGTCGAACTTCCGCCGACGATGGTGCCACCGCTGCCGCCCCCCCGCTCGAGCCTCGGCCGCCGCACCCCGCCGTCCGCGCCCCGCCGCCACCCCCTCCGTCACGGCACACGCCGGCACCACCGCTACTACCGCTGGCTCCGCCCTAGACGCCGCCGACCGCTCGCAAGAGCGGCGAGCCCGGGGCCGACACCCCTCTGTTAGGTGACGGTCGACGGCTCCTTTCGAGGCTTTGTGGCCCTTTAAGAGGGCACCAGCAGCTTGGGGGGTGCGCGCTGGATGGCCGGCGCGGTGGAGCAGCGGCGCGGAGCCGGGGGTGCGATGTGCGGCCGTCGGTGGCGCGACACGCGGCCTCCGGCGGCGATTCGCCGCGGCTCCGGCGGTGCGATTTTTGTGCGTTTTCGAAGGCTGTGGGCGGGATAAGGCCGGCTAGACTGGCCCTGGTGTGCCCTAGTGTGTTCCCTTACACCCCTGGCCCGGGAGCAGTAGCGCGGTGCGCGTCCCGAGGGCGTAGGGGCTCAAAAAAAAAAACAATTGATTGTTTTTTTCAGCCACTTAGAAGAGTGAAAGCATCCACCAGTGAAAGGATGCGGCTCACGATATATCTCGGTACCAGTGCAAATAGAAGGCTACCTGGCGAAGCTGCAGAACTTCTATTTTCACTCCAAGGACGCACCTCGACAACAGATGATAGAAGAGATATCCAAAAACGGGTACCTAAGCAGAGGAGGAATCATAGCAGGGGACTTCAACATGCTCGACGACCCCCTCATCGACTGTGAGAAGGGGGAATACACAGCAAACGCAGGGTTTAAAGCTTGGAGGGCAGAAGCATCCAAAAAAGGCCTCACGGACGCTTATAGGAAATTTCACGGCTACGAGGCTAAGAGCGGATTCACCCGGAGACACGGAACAAACTACACAAGAATCGACAGATTCTACATACGAAGACACTTCTCCCTCTTTCACATAGTCAGAATAGAGCCAGACCCCAACCTCTTCGTTGGAAGCGCCAAATCCGATCACCACCCCGTCGTGCTAGAGATCGAGACACCTTCCTCCACGACACCACCGAAGGGAGAAATCAAAATAGACGAGACCCTTTTCAACGACCCAAAAATACACAAAGAAATTCAAGAAATATGGAAGAAGGCCTATGCGGGCAAGAAAAACGAGGCCGAGGCAGCCAAATTCACAGAAGCTATCGAGCAAACGACAGCCCATCTCCACCAGGAAACCAGGAGAAAGCGACACACACCAGACGCAGCCGAGCTGATCAAGAGAGGGATCGCACGAATGGAAAAATCTTACAAAGACCAATCATCCCCGGCGATCACCCGAAGGATGGCCAAACTACACGAAAGATACGCGGAAGCCTTAGCGAAAAGAAAAGCCAACGCCGAGATCGAGAGACGCAAGGCCGAGCTCAAACAACGTCCCACGAAGAGCTTCTTTCGAAAGCTCCAGCCGGGGCACGCGTCGAGAACCATCTCCTCCCTACACCGCACACCCGACTGGGACAAGCCAGATGAGAAAAACGGGGTCACGACGGACCCGGATGAAATATGCGACGAACTAGCGAGATACTATCAATGGCTGTTTGGACCAAAACAAACCATAAAACAAAAACGAGACATCTTACTGACTAAACTAGAGGAAGGACAGCGCTTCTCGGACGCCGATGCCAAAGATATGGGCAAACCATTCAACAAGCACGAGGTCCGAGACGCGATCAATCTCATGAAAGAAGGGAAATCACCAACACATGTGGAACCAAATAATAGTCTCCTTCTACGAAGAAGAAGACATCAAACCCGGACAAACCTGGAAGGCGGTCTTGAACCTATTAGTGAGAAACATGCAAGCGTACTCGGGGGAGGCCAGAACTAGGCTCCGACGAATAAGACGCAAGAGCGACCGAGTCAGCGATTCGACCATGAAAGAAATAAGCGACAAAGTAGAACCCATGGGGACGATTGACTACTACGGCAGACTACGACTGAGCAGGCGAGTGAATGAAGAACTAAGGAGAGTGGGACTCGACCACCTCACCACAGAAGAGGCGACGACTCACGCACGAGAGATCAGGTTCGTCAAGGCCTCACAAGCTAGCACAACAAACACCTAAAGACTTAAAGGCATCACACTACAAGGAACGCGGCTGAGCTGACTCCCTGTAGGGGGCGCCTCGGTGAACCAGGGACTAGGATCTCGCGCAGACGACACAGGGCGTGCTGCGCCCCGCGCGATCCCTGGCGCAGAGGAGGCTGAGCTGCCGAACTTAGGATGCCTGCAAAGGCTGGCGAAAGCCAGCGAGACACGCCCACAACTCATATCCACTACAACAAGCCATTGATGCCCCAATAGGCCCCACCACCCCACCCCTAGGCAATGCCGCGCACATGTCTAGTCATCGGAGAGGACGTGCCGGGGGGGGGGGGGGGTCGGAGCAGCGTGCTCACTCGTGTCCCGGCGTATGATGGGGTAGGCAAAAAAATTACAACAAAACTCCCTCGCACGACTGCATGGTGTGGCCTCCCTTCTTGTGCGCGGCCGAGAGAGTGGGGGTGGTCAACATGCACGGAGAGATCGCGCAGAGCCGCGCCGGCGGCTGCCGACAGCAGCGCATAAAAGAATTTTATCCTCCACACTGGCCAGGCCCGTGTGGTGGCGGCGTGCCGTCCTCCCATCCCTCCCTTGGGTTGTCTGTTTTATTTCTCCTAATTTTAGGCCAGGACCGCCTATGCGACTCCGTAGTCCGTTGAGAACGGCAATGCATACCATTCTGCTCCGTGTGCACAAATGCCGCTCTCCCCGCATGCTAGCTCGTTCACCGTCGAGCCGGCTCGCGCGGCGTCGTCCCTTGCCACACGCCACAGCGGTGCGTGGAGAACCTTTACGACGTCTCTCGCATAAAAGAACTGTGCGGTGATTCGCTCCCGGCGAGCCTCCGTTCCCCCTTTATCGATAACCGCTAATTGCAACGACGCGTTCGCCTCGACACGGATGTCATCTCCTACACGAGGCGCTGCAGCATCCACATCATCACCGGCTCGCGGCAGTACGGGCAGTCGCGCATCCGATCCGCGCAAGCGCCGCACGCGCACTGGTGCCCACATGGCACGGCGATGTGCGTCTTCGGCCTGGTAAAACACACGATGCATGTGGTCTCGCCGCCGAGGGTGGACTCAGGAACAACCGCCCGGCCAGTGTCGAAGTCGGCGTTGGCGAGCGAGACGGTCGCCACCGCTGGCTGGGGCTCTCCCGACACCGCATCGTCGGAGACGGAGTCGGAGCTCGGGTCCTCGGGTCCGATCGAGTCCTCATCGGGGGCCGCGGCAGCAAGCTGCGACGGCGACTCCGATGGCGGCGCAAAGGACTCGGCGAGGTCGGCCGGAGCAGCGGCGCCAACCTCCGGTGATGGCTCCTCTAGTGCCTGTCCCTCTGGCACTACACTCAGCCTCGCCGTCGCCTCGCCGAGGCAGCGGACAGGCACTCCCGCCTCCTTCTCCGCCTCGGGCGCCGCCACCTCTGCATCCACCTCTGCCAAGTCCGCCTCACCCGCCGCCTCGCCGTGCGCCTGCGACGACCCTGCCCTGCCCTTCCCCTTCTTCTTCTTCTTCTTTCCCTTCTTGCTTTCCTTCTTCTTGTCTTCCGCCTCCTTCTCCGCCTCGAGCTCCGCCAGAAGCGCGTCGCCTAGGCACAACCAGGTGTGTGATGACAAAGCCCAACCTCCATGTCCGCCAAAAGGCGTCTCGCCTCGCCGCTTCGCCTCCGTCTCCTTCGCCGCCCTCGCCGCCCTTGCTTGCTCCTCGATCAGCTTTGCGCACTCGGTGTGGCCTGCCTGCCTCGCATACTGCAGCGCCGTCTTGCCCCTCGCGTCGCACAGCTCCAGGTCCGCACCGCGCTGCAGAAACGTCTCGACCAGACGCTCATGGCCGTTGCCGGCGGCAAGCATCAGCATCGTGGTGTCGTCCACGCCGTCACACAGGAACGTTGCGTCCATCTGGCCGCCGCTGTCGACCCAAGCCTCAACCGTCGCCTCCCTGCCTCGCTCGGCCGCCCTCCAGACCTCCTCGGGGACCTTACACTCCAACATCCCCTCTGCCGCGTGCACGTCCCGGGGCAGCACCTTGTGGCCTCCTTGCGGCCTGAAGGCCTTCACGCACTCGGCGTGTCCCCTCCGGTGTGCGATCTCCATCGCGGTCAGCCCGCTCTCATTGCGCAGCCGAGTGTTTGCCCCGCCCCGCAGCAATTTGCGCACGATCGCAGCCTCGCCGAAGTAGGCGGCCGCCATGAGCGCAGTCATTCCGTTGCTCGCCCGCGCGTCCAGGGATGCGCCATGCTCCAGGAGCAGGTCGACCATGCCGGGCTGGCCAAAGTTGGAGGCGGCCATTAGCAGCGTCAGCCCGGCAACCGGGCCTTGGGTGAAGGCTGCGCTCGGGTCGCCGCCGTCAGCGAGATAGGCCCGCGCCGCCGCCTCGTTGCCTCTCTGGACCGCCTGCAGGATAGCATCGCGCGCCGGCGCCATTGTTCGCGGGGATGGAGCCCTAGCCCGCTTGGAGCAGAGGAAGGTGAACTGCGCGCGCAGCACCGCGAGCAGAGGAGGTGAACCCCAACGCCAGCGCTCACACACACACTCTCAGAGAGAAAGAAAGAAACCCGGCGCCGTTTGTGCCGCGTCCCGTGCCCCCGAGTTCATTTTACATGTATAAGAAAGAAAAAAGACGCGCACTCACACACACCTAAAAAATTCTTTTTTTCGAGCGGTGCAGAGCGGCTACCGACATGACAGTTGGCGACGGTCAATCAGGAGTGTTTTTTCTTTTTTTCAAAAAATCCCGAAAGGGCAAGTTTAGCCACTCGAAACCCGAGACCCCTCCCCCCCGCCCCGATCCCCCCACCCCCTTGCTCCCCCTCCCCCCCTCGGGAGGGCCGAACTGAGGCGCCCGTGGGGACCCCGCAATTCCCTCCCCCCCTCGGAGGGGGCCGGACGAGGCGTACCCCGAGGGCCCCACTCTTTCCTTCGCATAGCGGCCACTCTTCGGATCGCTGGTCGAGCGACCCGGGGGATGCCCCGCGCGCCTGACCCAGGCGCGAAAACGAATCTGCGAGGCGTGGCCGCTCACGCGGCCCGATGGGGAGGAGGGGAAGACGTAGGGCGTGCTTGCGCGCCTTTCTGAGGCCCCTCCAACCCACCCGCGCTAGGTCTCGGGGGACGAAGGGGTCACACCCGACGACCTCGGGAACTAGCCGGGGCAGTCGGAGAAGTGGCAACTCCGTGCACTGACGGTCGGCCGTCAGAAAACACGCCTCCGTGGCTCGGGTTACACCAATCCTCGCTACCCAACGCGGCCAAAGGATATCCACCTCGAGAACGCGAATTTTTTTCTTTTTTCGTAAATCCCGCCACCTCCAGGTGTATATTATTTTTGCTTGGCCGGACATCATGATGGGGTAGGTAGGGTAGGGTCTGGGCCCTCCCGTCGGGTTTTTCCCTCTCTCACGCCGGAATTTTCACAGCAGAAAAAGAATTTTTCCGCCCAAATCACGATGTCAACCCTCCCCAAGTCGTTGATCTTTGTAGGGCTTGAGAGTTGCCATGTCACAGGAAGGACTGTGGTTGCAGGATAGTACCACCAGCCATCACTTTAGTTGGTATAGTACCCCACCTTCACCCACCCCGTGATTTCTTTTTTAGTTTCCCATAAGTAAGGTAGGTAGGTAGGTAGGTAGGTAGGGGCAGGGCAGGGGCCGGTCAGGTTTTTGCAGAATTTCATCATGATGTCCGGCCAAGCAAAAATAATATACACCTGCCACCTCCAACCGCGAGTCGGGTCTGGAAGGGGCGGTCGACCTGTTCGTCATGCCCCAGTCTTTCGCCACCGCGGCCGGCGTGATGGCCGCCGAGCGGTCCTACGCCACCGGCGGCGCGGC